GATCATTAATATTCATTAGAAACACGCAGTGTGTAAATATTTTTAAATCATTTTACGTAATTAACAAATTGATACCATTGAACGAATCGAACCGAATCGATTTAGGATTCAAAACAGTCGTCCCGAATCGAAACCTGATTAGAGCTTGATTGTGCCGTTGTTGGTGGTCTGGTTGGTTATCGCTTGTGTCTTCTGGATGTTGACTTGGATGCAACATCGCTAGCGAGATTCAAACGAATATGTATTTTCATTTAAAAATAAGCCAATAAAAAATTGACTTCAATCCATTATTTTTGATTGAAAATAGCCATAAACGAATTATTTCAATCAATGATGATAGTAAACATTTGAAATGTCACTATTGTTATGAAACAACCAACATAGGAACTCCTTAGTGAATTATTAGTCTGCGCTCATACAAATTTTCTTGGCTCTACTAATAGTCATAATTACAGAAATACTCTGTACTGTGATCAAAAAGATACAATAATACAAAAAATTGAGCTTATTCTCAATAAAAATAAAAGTTTTGTGTTTTGAAATAGCACCTAGCATTTTAAAATATGAAATATACTAACAGCGGTCATATTTCAAAGTTATGTGATTTTAAAAGTTTTGATAATATACAGACTCTCTAATACATCGACAACCAATGGTATTCTTGAGACAAATAATTCTACATTAGTGGAATGTCCATTTTACTTCGCTAGGGATGATGAGACAATTACAGCTTCCCTCTACTATCTCATTTCTTTGCTTCATTTATATCAGTGATACTACTATTATTAATTCTACGCACATGTAAGGCGATAGTTTGCCTACTATGTATGTGTATTATTAGTCGTTCTTATGTATAGATATTTGACTACGAAAAAAAAATCCAAAAAGAACGACTAGTTTTTGATGAATAGTGGCTTGATTCGTCATGACACTTGTCAGCATCAATTTGTTTCATTCAATACATATATTACTCTGATTTAACTTTGATTATATTTTACTCATCTCTTAGATTCTCTCACGATATATAGTATATATATATATATATATATATATATGTGTGTGTGTGTGTGTATGTGAGCACTCAGCTCCTTGAATAAAAATAAAAAGAATAGAAACGACGTTTGTTTTAATTGCGGATGTACCGACTCACTCTAGAGATGTGTTAATTTTTTTTTAATATTTTCGTCTCTTTAACGGCATACAATGGAAGAAACAATTTGTTGATGATAAGACAATCGTGACATTTCAGTCAACTGCGTTTATGTTTTAAATCAATAATGATAGACTGCGATTTAAAAAGAGTGAAATGTGATCATATAATTTTGTTCACCTGCAATTGAATTCCAACACTTTACACAATCTGTACAATATGTAATAGATATATCGTCGTATCGAAATCAATCGCATCAGCAAATGTCATGCAGATATTTAACACCTTGTCATCATCTCTCACATTCGGTAGTTTTCTTTTGAAATAAAAAAAAGAGAATTCAGCTTGATTCTGTTACGATAACGGAACATACAATCACACACACACAATATATAGCATCATTAAAAACAATGGTAAATTTCTATTTTGGGAGAGTCTTTTCCAGGCTTTTGATGTGTACCTGTATATAGCATATCATTCTTCTTCCTATTTCCGTTGATAAGTGATGCTCCTGAATATACATGTGTAAACATATTCTCTCTCTCTCTCTCTATTTAAATAGTAATCATTCGTCTGTCTCTTAATCTAGAATGGTGATTGGTATTCGTCAATGACAAACATGTGAGAAGCGAAAACTTTTCTGTTTAGTTTATATGTCAGAAATAAAGATGTGCCATAAAGTAAATTCTCTCTCTATATAGGCGAGAAAGAAACAACAAATCTATTACCACTAATATTAATAATAATCACTTTTCACTCCTAGAGAGAAGAGAAAGATGATAGATTGTTAAATAAACAATAACTAGTAATTTCCATTTCATTACACTGAACGCATTCTTGTTTGATCTCGCTCGTTTTTGTTATTGTTTATATGTTAGAACACGATTGACCGATCTGATGATGAAACAAACGGTCTTAATGAGAGTACGAATAAGAAGATGCACACGAATAATACGATGTCTTATGTCTATACGAAGTCTACTGTACGCCAGTGATTTACTTCTCTCTCCGACGAATAGGTATACTTCTCTTGGGTTTTATTGTGGGCAAATGAACAAGAAAAAAATACTTCACAGTTTTTCCAAACTTCGACTATTGATGAGTAGTTCTCTGGTTAATCTCCAACATTGTTTTGCTGCATTATCCAAACATTGTGTCGATTTACCTTTAAATAAATCGACATTTGGATTAAAATAATGTGGACATTTTCGACATTGTAAACATGATATCAATTGTAATAGAACTCCGTTCAACCTATCACCTAAACATAACTCATCCCAATCTAATTCTCTTGGATGTTTTTCACATTCATATAACATTAATGTTTTCATTGTATAATTTGTGACTGGTTGACCAGGTAAATCTAAATGTCGATCTCTAAGAGTTTTTAAGAGACTTAAACATTTTCGTCTTGAACCATCTTGTAATAGACGATCTTCAGCTTCACAGAACGACATTACCCATGAGTCACCTTCTGAACTGGCTTGTTTATCTTTCATATAAATCGATTCTTTTGATAATATATTGAAACCTTCATTTTTAACATCATTTATTTGTTGTGGATTTGGCCATGGATAATGTGACAGTGGCCATTGTGAGGCGGAACGTGGCCAAATGCCTTGACAGCGAAATGCGGGAACGATGTGTACAATATATTTATCACGTATACGTAATTTAACTTCAGATGAATCAGGTAATAATTTAACAAAATCTTTACATGTACATTTTTCACATGCTTGTGATACTAATGCTTGAAATCGTGAACGAATTTTTCTTGCTGATAAATAGCCGGACGCTGTTATAAATTCAACCCACAACGACATTGAACGTTTACGACCATCAGACAGTTTTAATACTGCACAACCTGAAAAAAAAAGCTGAATGTTAGTTTAGGTAATGGAAGGATCCCTTTTCGCATTCTTTACCCGGTGTTCCTCCATCATCAACGAAATTAAACACACCCATTTGATTCAGATACAATACAACCTAAAAAATACAATAAAAATACCAGGAGGGATTTTAAACGTTTCTTTATAAGATTGGATGAGTTTATGGGCTATCCTGATTTGTTCTGATTAGAAACTCAAACAAATACCATTTTATTTATACAGAGAAAAGTCTTAGAACAGCTTTAAATCTATAATATTATGTGGAACTCCTCCATGGCGAGCCGTGAAAACTTTTTTAGGGGGCACTAAATATTTTAGAGTAGCGCATACACAAACGTGCTTCCTTTCATAATTTTTGTCCGTGCTAACACATTTTTCCTTCATTCAAAGTGTACGCCAAATTTTTCGACCAAAAATTGCTCTTACTTTATTTTGAACTTCGGACAGATACTCTACTGCGAAATATAATTCTTTACAGGGCAATGACTAACTGCTTATTGCACTTAGTATTGTTTTCCAGGAGCAATTGTCCTGCTGGCGGCCCCCCCCAATGAACTCTTCCCAATAGTTTCCGAAGGACGGAGAAGTGTAAGTTTTATACTTAAATTCTTAGGATTTTTGGTCTTTTTTTACTTCCTCTCTCTAGTAATGATCTTAAATGCTCACAATGCTTTTAAACTGGTCTTAGTAATGATCCTAAAGATTCTTGTCTAGTAATTATTTTATTATTTTATATTTATAACAGAGAATATTAAGCAAGAGTTAACAATATTAGTTCAGTGCCCGCTGCTCTGGTAAGTTCTAAATTTTAGCCCGGATCGGGATACTCTGACAAAATTTTTAATATAATTAATTATAATCTATTTAATCTATAGTATAAATAACGAATAGACATTAAATGAAAGTATAAGGTATTGTTGCCATGACTAAAATTCTTATGCATTTCTGCACATTTCTTCAAAAATGAAGTTAGAAAACTCAGGATCAAAATGTCGAGGAGACCTGTAATTTATTTAAGATTATGTCGAACTGAGTAACTTTTTATACTAAAATAATTAATAATATTCTTTTAGCACAAAAACTTTATGTAGATGATTTAAAATGTTGAGGCTGTAGGAAGAGTATTTTCTCATTATCATGAGAAAGACAGAAGAATATCAAATTTTAATTAACTTACTTCAAATTCTGTTGCTGAAACTACGGTTAAACCTTCAAATCGTCCATTAACTTCATTTAATGACGATATAAATCTAGGCTCTTGTACTTCAACTTCTCTTAGAACTTCGGTAACAACTTTTGATATATCACGCACAGCTTTGTATATAGAAGTTTTTCTTGGTATAACTTTTTCACCAACATATTTATTTAATTGCATAACAAATTTACTCGATGGTGATAACATGGATGATATCGTATATTAGTACCAATTTAATTGTATCTGGTATTATTCATCATTGTAAGTTTAAGACACAAAATCAAAAATGAGATTTTCTGTCGTTTTTAGATTTGCCAAAGAAAAAAACTATGATTTCTCGTGTCGTATACAGTTTGACAGAACACATCATTTTTTTTTCTTTTCTTTTCTTTTTTTTTCTTTAACCAACCATTCATTTCTTTTCTCTTAGTTTCTTCGCAATGACTTTTGACCAATCAACAAAACAAAAATGTTAACGTCATTTTTTGTAATGTTTGTTTATTACCGTTCTCTTTTATAGTGGATGAAATAGTAGGTCAATATACCCCTGTAAACAGTATTGTTTTAACTCAATGATTTAAAGTTTCACATACTATAGAAGTTTTTCTGAAACTATTCTCCATGAAGTACGAAGAAATTTAAGAAGAATAGGAGATCAAATTTATTGGCAGAAGTAACTGAAATCAGCGGCGTCTATCGTCACCTGAATATTTGAGGCATTTTGTACCACTTCAAAAGTTTGATCTCTCAATGTACTATTTGAAAAATGATTTTTACAGCAAAAACCGTATCTCCTTATGTTTGTTTGGGGCGCTGCGCTTCAAACGTCTCACAGGATATACGCCCCTGACTGGAATTTTTAATAGTTTTAGCCGTTTTTCGCATATGTAGTATTGACGGAAATTGATATGTGTAAAAGAAGTTACAATGATTCGAAAACCTGAGCTTACTTCACTAAATTCAGTGGCAGTGAGATAATTGACTTTTAGTGACGTATTTGTAAAGTTGCGTCTTTCTGAACGGTAGGATTTGCATTTATCCGATTTTGGGTAGTTTAAATGAATAGCGTAGAACAAGCGAGGCATAAATTCATGTATCCCAACACGCAAACTGGGTCTTACCACCCGTTTATAGGGCTGCTTTTTATACTTACATCAAGAGGTTTGTAAGACTCTTCATCATATTTATTAGCAGATCGCCTTCAGTTGTGCTCCCTGAGAAAATATCAAGGGTAATAAGCAGTTATTGTCTTTTCAAGAATTATATTTATAGAATTATATTTTCTTAAAATTCGAAGTTAAAAAAACAAACGATTCTTGATTGGAAAATTACGTACGTTTCTGGAAAGTATGTCTCTACCTTACTACCCTAAAAAGTTTATTGTCTCCCTAAAAGAACTTCTTCAACTCGCCCCATGATCATGTCATATTATCGAGTTGCTGATGGTCTGCGAGATAGTTTATCAAATTTAGAAGGAGAGCTTAGAAATAATTTATATGAATAAACATAGAGAGCGCCTAGAATGATAGTATTCTAATCATTAAATGTTATCAATGAGATAATTGCGTGACAAAAGTTTTTGCACAAAAAAACAAAATCAACATTTCAACGATTGACTTTATAATTATTTTTCAGACTAACCATTTTTTTTCTTCTATTTCTTTATGAGATATTAGATATGTGTGTGTCAAGAAATTCCATCTGATCTATCATTTCTTTTTTTGTTTGTCAGCTATAGAGAAAGATAAGATTTTTTGTATAGATCTATTTGCTTATTAAATAGACTAGATAAGCTTTTAAAAAGTTAGTCACAGAAAAATATTGTCCCAAATGTGCCATCAATTTTAAGAAATGAAAAAAAAAATATTGAACATGTCTGACACGTATGTAGTAAATTTTATGAATAATAATTCAATATTTAGAGAAACTGTTATCTTATTCGCAGAAACTTTTGAGGTAACCGATTTTCGTTTCGTTTTTTATCAAGCTAAGTACACGCTGTATAGTCACTTATAAATGATATTTTATATTGAGATCTAAATTTTATGTTGGATGTTGATAAATAGTTCGTGCGTTATTGAGTGAGTGATACTCATTTCACGGTTCAAAAAGTAATTAGAAACATCCCATATTTATCAACACTTAGCACTAATTATTGAGAAAAAGTCGATGTTTTGTTTTGTTTTATATTGTTCTCTATGCTAACTCTGTAGTGATCATCGTGTGTATGTGTGTGTGTTTTTACATATTTATTGAATCAAATGAATGTAGAGAGTCACTGCTGTGTGTGTGACAGGCTTGAATTGATGAACACACAATAATAGCACATCATTAAAATCAAATCATACCAACTTCTTGTTTTTCAATGATTAACACTAAATTTTAGAATCGTTAGAACATATACATATCATCTATCAGATAAAATCAGATGATAATATCGAGTTCCTTGGAGTTGAAATTTACCGTTGCACGTAGTTACATTATCCATCTTTCAACAACAGAATTATAATAAAAATATTTTGTTTGTGACATATTACATGCCTATTTAGAAGAAAGTTATACTGATTAAATTACTCATGTCACTGTACTATATGCTAACTTGTTTGTCCGAGGACTCGTTCACATCTATTTAGCTTATATCTGACGTTGATTCATGACTGGAAAAACAATGAGTTTCTCTCACAATGTAAACAAATCCTATAGTTTCATCACTTATAGATTTATAAACAGAGACAGTCAAGTATTGTTAGTGTTTGTAAAATCAGTCCAAAAATTGGATCATCACTGAATACGGATAGACAATATTCAATCTGTAAAAAAAAGTCTTTACTCTATCACTGTCTTCAATTTCAATAACTGGTACTTAGTAAGTAGTTTGTTGATTAAACGAACAGCTTTCTTACTTATTGTGCAGTGTGTGTAATGAAAATCCATTTAATTATGTGTATTCTAAGTAATCAAGAAGAATAGTTATTCTATCATAAGTAACAAAAACTTAGGCCTTTGTTGTAGAAGAAAATATAAGTATAGAGTTTTCTAATTTCACTTGTGTCAAGTTGTTTATACTATCCATAAACAATGAATATAGTCTACTAACACGTTTGCTATATTCAAATCAATAATTCTATTAATAACTGCATGTGGACAGGTGGCATGATTATTTTCTACTGTTTTTTTATCACCTAGCCGCTCGTTCGTTCTTTTTCTCAATAATTTTTAATGATTGTATCGAATATCACCATATTTCAACTGACTACTTCTTTGATTGACACATAGACATACATAGTCAGTGTCCAGCTATTTAGGATCAGTTGAAAAGATAAAAAAATGTGCTCTTAAAAAAAAAAACACTTTTTTTGACTCACTCTATAGGGCGGGATGCATGTTCGAGTAAATGAAGCAAAAAAAGGTACAACACTCGAAGGCAATATACGCACTAGGCGACAAAAATTCTCAAATACATTGACAAATGTTTTATACGTGTGTATACGTTTTATATATAATGCATCATCGATCTGGTCTATTTCGAGATAAGATTTAAATGCAGAAAATTGCACATCATGTTTTGTTTCGATTTGAATAGAAAAAATGTGTTACAATGAATAGTGATGATGATGATGATGGCTTTTTAATTTCGATGAACGAAATCGATCAGATTGAAAATTTTTATTATCTGATATTTAACTGTATCCAAAATATATGTCTTATGACATTAAACTCTTTTATTATTAAATTTTAAAAATTAACCGCGTATATATAGCAAGGCATCAAACATTCTAACTTACAAGGAAAAGGACAATACAACTTAGACTCCAATACGTTAATCTACAAGGACTAATTACTGGAATGTTAATAAAAAAAGTTAGTCTGTCTGGTAGCAATAAAAACTATGATCAACTAGAAAATTGAATAAAAAACGGTTATATCTAGTACTAGAATTTGACTTGCTCAGATAACCGGTAGATATTTGGATAGAACTAACATTGTTTTCTCAGGTCCTCTGGTATTGGTTTATGGAAGTTATAGTTCAGATGCTACGTCTAATAAGTCATCACCAACATATCCAGATGCCCACTGTTATATGTTTTATCCGATTCTTAGGTTACTGTAAAGAATGGAAACTTTTATGGCAGGACTGGTGGGCAAACATTCTCTGAAAGTTTACCGTTATCACTAACCCTTGTTGCAAAAGTCATTGCACAAAATTAAAACTCATTTCTCTTCTTAAGAAAAGCTTTCTCCTGAAAAACGTTTTTGAAAAGGTTTTCACAAACTTTTGTTTCAGAGTTATTGATGTTTTATTGATAATCTCGAAAACTGTGTTTGTAAAGAAAGAAGACGATTTTGTACGCTGTACCGTTGATGACAAATTGAGAATTAACTTTTTATCTGAATACCGGATTATAGGTCAGACATTTTTCTACAGATGGTATTTCGCGTGGTTTCATACGGCTTTATTACAAAACATTATGTGCATGTTTTCCAAAAGTCTCATACAATGTAAAATAGTAAATTTTATAAACAGAGAATTTTGAAGAAAACAGAGCTTTTTGTAGAACGTTTATAATTTTTTAAAGCAAAGCCGTACTGAGACACGCAACATACCATTTTGTAGAAAAATATTTGCTCTACAAATTGATACCCAAATCAATATTATTACACTTCCTCTGCTGCAGTTGCATTAAAGTTTGTTAATAATGATGTCTTCTTCCTCTGTACAAACACAGTTTTCGAGATTATCAACAAAACAATAATAACTCTGAAACAAAAGATAGTGGAAAGTTTACTAAATGTAGATTTCAAAGTGCACGTTTCAATTCAGGAGAAAGCTTTTCTTAAGGAAAGAAATGAGTTTTAATTTTGTGCAAAGGCCTTTGACACAAGGGTTATGATTACCTTCTAGATTATGTTTATTTTAAACGAATGAATCCATATAAAACCTATGATCATTACATTGACTTCCACTGCCGACGTCCGCACCTCGCACAAATAATAAAGCTATAAAAATAACGAATTTTGGCGAAAACAGCAGGTTTGTAGCTTTTGCAAGAGCTAAGAAATCTTTATTCTACTTTTACAGCAAAACAGCGCTAAAATTGACATTTTGCGCCTATTTTTGTTCAACTTCTTACGCCTCCCTTTCGATCAGCATGGAGCTTGAAATTCTGTTTTTTGTTTAAAACAACAACTCAAAATCTATTGATTCTAATAAAGTAGAGTTTGCTGATACGTAGTCTTTCTGAAAAGGGTTTCGAGAAAACTAGAATCATGTAAAATTTGTCTTGAGCGCTGAAAAAGATAGTGTAAACAATCTTTTTCGAAATGAAACGTCTCTCAGATTTGAAGGACATTTCATTGATACGATACGAGCGTTATAAGTTTTTATTTAAATCAACAATCTTAGTACACTCAAAATGATTGCGATTTACCAAACAAAGAAGAAAATTCATCTATTATGAACGAAATGTTTTTCAGAGCTCTTTCACAATGAGAGACTTTCGCTTCTCGCCAAAATTCGTCATTTTTGGGAGTGGTTTTAATAACAACTACTTATACTTTCTATTATCGGACAACTTGATTTCGGACTGACTCTGACATTTGATGAACAATCGATATCATCCATGATGCCTGTGAATAAATTTTTATTCGATGACGACGAATCCCCGCGGGTATTCGACGGGAACATTTCGTTTAATGTGTCGGTTTTTGTACTTCATCCATTTTCGAGTTGATTGGTGTTTCCATGTTTCTTCCTTGTTGTTGTTACCTCATGTTTCCTCATGACTTTATAGACGCACTAGGGACAAATATCTGTTGACTATCTCCAAAACCAGCTATAAACATATGTTATAAGGATGGTGAATTTTAACTCATAAAGTAACAAACATCAGAGAATGTGGGAAAAATATTTTGTTCGAACCTACTTGGAAATAGCTTTGATTGATATGAATTAACTTGATCTAATAATGATGATATCAAATAGTATCCATTCACTATCTCTTGCGTTTCAGATGAAAACTCAAAAATAATTGGAATACAAACAGGTAATTCATTCTGACTAAATTCATCAGTCATATAATTATTAATAAAACGTATGATAGCTTTTAACGTTTCTTCGTGTGCTACAACAAGAATATTTTTTCCCATATTGAGATTTTGGGATATTTCATCATACCACAATGGTAAAATTCGTTTTTGAACATCGACTAGTGTTTCTGTACTAGGTACAACATTAGAAATATTTCTATATTTTGGATCACTTCGTGGGTGATTGGGGTTCGATTCTTCAAGAGCTGGAGGAGCATTTTGCGCCCTAGTTAACCATTCTTTTAATTGGCTTTGTCCAAATAATGAATCGGCTCGATCTTGTTGAAAGCCTGTCAATGCACCAATCATACGATCATTCAAACGCCATGTTGTGTGCACTTGTAACCATAATAAATCCATTTCATCGAGGATAAGAAAGAGAGATTTTGATGCACGTTTCAATACACTTGTGTAACATAAATCCACCGGAAAACCGGCTTGATGAAGAGCAGCACCAGCTCGACGTGCCTGATTCGTCCCCAATTGACTTAAATCAGGATCATTCCATCCATCATACCTTTTATCGATTTCGCCTTGTGAGAGACCGTGTCTAACCAAAATTAACAAATGTCGATTAGCTGTACCGTTTCTAGTATCAACTAATGCCAACTGTTTTTTCACATGTGAACATTTTGTTCGCTTGTTGATGCAACAACGACAGTTACATATTGCGCATTTTCGACATCCCGATGGGTGATTTATACTCATTTTAAACAAAAACTTATTCTACTAAAAATGAAGTACTTTTTCAAAATTTTGCTTGATTGATATCAGTAACTAAGTGGCGCGTCGCATTGTTGGAAAACTTTTAATAAATTGAATGCATAAAAGGTTGTGGAATTTGCTTAGTCACCCACAATAGTTGTATAAATTGCTTTTTACAACGAGGGTTACAAAAAGACTGTGAGATTATTAGATTCTATAATAGTATGTCCACTGAATATCCTTAAAAATCTTTATCAATACATTACGCGACACGCGTGGTTATTCATTTTCGAAAAAGCTACTTAACCAAACAAGTCGTTCTACCAATTCGAATAAGTCAAAAGTTATCTTTACAATTCAATGTGAGCGTGATTCAGTGGTTCGAATTTTTCTTGTCTATTTGCTACTGGCCCTCAACCTGAGTTAGTCACATGCTGCTTTCCACGTTTTGATAATTCGTTTATATTGTTACTTTTCAAGGCCAAATCAAATATATTCATATTGCTTTTTAGTCCTTTCTCACTACCTTTTTTTGCTTGATAATAGTAAGTTCAACCAGATCACAATTTAAACTGATGTTTTTTAACTTAATTCCTCAGATAAGATCTTCCATATTGCTTGATCCAGTTGTAATCGAATTTTGACATTTTAATGATGGTAAAGTTCCATTTCGTTTAACGTGTATCTAAAAATCATTTAGAAAAACTTTTGAGAATGTTTTTGATTAAAGAATAACCATAACTTATACTTGTAACAAAAATAAAAAACATGCATTTAGGAGAAGAACTGAAGAAATAGGATACATGTTGATATCTATTGCATGGAGTGCTTCCCTAGTGAAAGCACTCATACGATGAGTACGACTTTACTCATAATTCGTCCATGAGTACTCATATTGGTGCTACTAACAATTTCTGAGTATTGTTACTCAGTGAGTACTCAGAAAATATTCATTCACCATTTTATTTTGCTAAACTGAAACTGTATAAAGAATGTAGAATTTAGTGAAGAAACACAGAATATTTATATTATTATTTTCTCACTGGTCTCTCTTTATATAGTC